TTGTGTGTAGTTGGGCGCATAAGTTTACCTTTCGGCAGCAATAACCATCAAAGCATTAACAACGATATGGCAAGCCATTTTAGATCCTCCTGGCCCCTCCATCTAAAGTGCTGTTGCCAGATAAAAATGTCGCAGCCATGCAACTGCTGCAAATGACGTTCTAAATGGGCATGGCACAATGGCACTAGCATAGTTTTAAAGCTGTCGCACATACTTACGTACATTGCATTTGTATCACCTGCTGTAGAAATGAAGCTTCAGGGCTAGGGTCTGAAAGCTAAAGCACTGTAGTTGACACAAGACGACCACTTACGCTACAGATTTTGCTTGGAGCGTTCCTTTTGAGAGTTACTTGAAATGCCAGTTACATGTACGTCCAAATACATAGGCAGATGAATGGCCAGGCAGATAGGCAAGTGTGGATTTTAGCCCTGGGATGTTAAAGTTCTCTAAATTAATTAATGTGTAATAGTCTATTCGTTTTATGCACATATTTTTGAACATTAGTCTACAATGGTCTACAATGCAACCATTTGCAATGAAATTGGTAGAAAATTCTATTCATACAAGCGTCGTGGCCTCTTCCATATTTCTGCTTTCCTATCTAAAATCACACATTTTAAAGCTGAGCCTTTTAGTTAGTTAAAATAGTAGAAAATTCTATTCATACAAGCGTCGTGGCCTCTTCCATATTTCTGCTTTCCTATCTAAAATCACACATTTTTAAGCTGAGCATTTCTTTTTGCAGCTTTGTTAGTTCAGAAACCAATAAGCCTTGAGTCAAAAGGTTGGAACTGTGATTCTTAGCATGTCGCATTATTTAATACAGAATTTAAATTAGCTTTTTCGTGTATACTTTACGAATTTAATTAATAATAAGAATTACGTATTACGAATTTAATTAATAATAGAATTTTCATCATCAATTCACCTTCCTTTATCACTTTTACTGAAATAAATTTAAAGAATATGCTAATCAATCAACAATATTAAATTCCCTTCTTTCATTGAATTGATATCAACTGCTAAATTGTTCACAACACCAACGAATGTCGAACATCAACTTCTCCGATTTGATCATTTGTACTATTCATTCATTTAAATCACACATACTTAGAGAAGTTGAAAATAAATGTACCTGGAATTTCGAGCCGAACCTTTTTCACAGCCACATTGCAGAGCACTTGACATTTGCTGACCTGGAATTTGCGATTTTTATGTTTTCATTGAAATGTGATGTCTCCGGTTTTTGTTGTCTTTTTTGGGGTTCGGTTCATTTTACATTTGAGTGTTTGGTATTTTTATTAAAATTAATTAATTTAATCCAAATGTAAGAGGTGAAGTATGTGATGGCAGCCCCAGGCCGAGCATCTAATGTGTGACGAGCATTGTTGAGAAATGCCTTTGCCATGTTTTTTGTGCTGCCTTGTGACTATAAATTCTTTGGCAAACAGTTTATGCGCATATAACATGATGGAAATCAACCGCATTTAAATAATTTTTGGCTCCGGGGCACTTTGTACAGCAAAGGAAATTGTTAGCGTAATGCAAATTGCTATGTCAACACTCAACTGCGAAATTGCGCATACGCAGCGTCAGCCGAAAGGAGAGCGAGATAAAAATTAAGCTGGATATGTGCCTGTGTGCGTGCGTGTGCTAAGGACTTGGTAAATACTTTGCCTGAAACTCAAAAGCCAGTTCTTCTTGTGCGCCCTCACTCAATTCAACTTTGCAGAGTCACGAAGCATGTGCTGCTTGACTGTTTGACGGAGTCACACACAGACTGAGTTTGTGCCTTTAACGTAACTAATTTGGCCTTTGTGTAACAATTAATTGAAGTATATTCAAGTGCTTAGAAAATGATGTTTAATAGCAGGTGAACGAAAGCGTAATTGGGGGAAACAATGTTAATAATTAAATATATTTACAAAAGTTATAAGTTGGAACCCAACTGAGATAGCTGATAACCATTATTATTAGTTTCACTCGTACTATTATCATTATCTTTGAAACAAAATTGTGACCAGTGGGAATTACATCTTACTATAATGTGAAAATATAGTTTCTTCAAAAATGTCTAAAAATGAATAATACATACCCATATATTCTTAGGATATTCTTCTCTCAAACAGAACTGTTATTTGCGTATGTTACACATTGGTGTATTTATTAGAGAAAAGGTTATCATTTTTATGTGATCTCCTTCTTATCATTTCATTTCTTTTGCTGTTCCGCCATTGAGGCAGTTGCTTCTAAAATCTAACTTCAACTACACATATATATTAGAATTTTGATCATCAAAAATATAAAATTCCCTTTCTTTCATTGAATTCATATTAACTACTAACTATTTCATTGAAAGGCAAGCTGTTTGCAGTCCACAGTTCCACAAGAATTGTTAAACAAGAAGTATTCTTTGGTAAATCGGCAATCCTGTCTTTTTTTCTGTGTATAGGTGTGTTCATAGACATGCTCAGCTCCATTCAAGGCAAGTTCCCAAAATTTGTTTGTTTTCCATTTTCTAAATTCCTGCTTCAAGCAACAAAACGCAAGCAATTGTTTCCCTCTCCATTGAATTTGAAATAAACGCCACAAAAACAAAGACCCAAAAAACCCTTTGCAATCAGCTGCAGCCGCCGCTCTTCGCACTTTAAGAGTTGAGTTGAGTGCCGCACTGAGACATAATAAATAAGCTTGGCTTTGTTGGTGAGGCTCCTTCACTTGCACATTTCACTTCGCCCGCCTCACGCCTTGCGCCTCACAGTTCAATATTTTCCAATTACATGCATACGCGACCCAAACCCCTCCCATCCACCCATCCACCCATCCGCACATAAACACATACCCACACACAACACTTTACGAGCTGACATGGTTGTTGCTGTTGTAGTTTGTTCTGAATACAAACTTTAAATTGAATTTGTGCGGTTTGTCATTGTTCACGTTCGTATGGCGACGCCCCAACAACTCCAATTCCCAACCCTGGTGCCGAAATCGACGGTGACTATCATATGCAATATGTATTGCATGGCCCCCCAGCCCCCCTCCTTGGACCCTTCGCTGACGTTGTGTGGTCATTTTTGTCCAGGAAAATGCGTTCCTAATTCAATTTGTTGTCAACAACGCGCTTCAAGCAAAAATAGTCGCAGCATTTCACAGCCAAAAATGTTGGTGTCCTTTTCCACTCCACTCCACTCCTACTCTTCAACCATTCCTCCTCAAAATTGCGGTTTGGAAAATTATTTTGCTGTAAGTGATATCTTTTAATTTGCGGAAATAGGATTGGCAAGTGTTAGCTAGAATTGTTGTTGTCGTTCGTTGCTGTGCCAACGTGCCGACCAGCAACTAATGGCGCAACACCGGAAAACATGTTTACATTTAGTATTTAGTGGAGTGCATCAGATTCCGTTTGTTAATCCAAATCTGATAATAAATGGCATTGCGCATTTGGGGCCCTGCTGTTGTGGCTCTGTGCGTTAATGCGATTGTCACGGACCTCATACGAGCATAGTAGTACAAATATTGATGGGCGCGACAGCGCAGTGCAGCTGTGCGATTGGGCCACTCGATTGGCAATGCAGGTAAACACAATTAATATGCTAATTTATTGTTCAATGAGTCGCATATGGAAATTGCTTTGTAATAATCGACAACAAATTTAATTAAATTCGAGAATTATATTTACTGAGTTGTTAAATCAAAAGATATCAAAATAATGGGCACAATTACAACTAATTCTGTTTTTACAGGTTAGTTCGGTTCCTAAAAAACCTTGTAAAAAGGACATTAATCATATGCAAAAATAGGTGGTTGGTTCCATGTCTCTAAAACCTATTAAAATCAGTGAAAAAACAAGGATTTTTGTTTATTTTATTAAATCATTTATATAATGTGCATGACGACCCATTTAAGAATGGCTTCTAGCTGTTTGCCAGCTGTGTGTGTGTTTTTTAAAATTTATTTTGGGTTATTTTAAATCGCCCCAGATGGAATAAAGTCAAAACAATACACCTAATTCAGTTTTTGCATGGTAGATTAGTTCCAGAAACAACCAAGTAACAAAAGACATCGATCATATGCAAAAATAGGTGATTGGTTCCATATCTCTAAATAAATATAAATGCAATTTTTAATTTTCAAACCGTGTTATATCAAAATCGTGTAAGTAAAACCAGTGCAAAAACAGAATTAGGTGTACATGTAATTTTTAATGTTCAAACCGTATTTAATCAAAGTCGTGTAAAAACATAGTTCGGTGTAGTTGGCGGTCACTTTTTTTTCCCAAAATTGCAATCATTTCTGAAGTCAAATGCAGAACTATTCTTGAAGAGTTTCTCAGTGCCCTTGACGATTAAGTAATATATAACAATTTAAGGAATCTTCTGCATTGATTTGTATGTGTATATAAAACCTTTTATTCTAACTCATTCATAGAACGGAATTTTTGGGGAAATTCCAAACTCGCCGTTTGCTCACTAGCGCCGATGGACTTTTAAATGGTTAATGGTTTAGGCGTATCAAAACCTAGCATTTTGTTATTATTAATTTTATTAATTGAATTGGTTAACGTATAATTGCAAAACTTGTTATGTTCTTAAATATGTTTTGTGGTATATTTGTGATTTCTTTCACTGAACCCAACTCTATCGATAACTATTTTTCTCTTCTTAATTACTTTTTATCTGCCAATGTTTCATTTATTGCTTGAAAGTAAACTTATTAAAAAAGCATAAAGCTCTTCCAGTATATGACGGTCGTAGGCGATTATTAGATATAATTGTAATTGGATTAGATTTCTCCTTCCTAGGCTTTTCTACCTTATAAGATGCTTTTTATAATTTTTATATATTTTCCTCCTATGTCGACAGTCAATGTCTGTTGACATAAATAAATAAATAAAATAAGAATAAAATAAAATGACAAAATCTCATGGGGACAATTTTTTATGTAGCTTTAGCAGCGTAATCTAGATAACAATATGTTTTAGAAGGCTCATGCAATTTAATATTATTATTTATATTTCTGCAAATATATAATTTAATACATGTTTCGGGAGCAGCCAAATCGACTTTGTATAAGAACTTGAGGTAGCTGTTTTCTGTTGTCTTTAATCAGATATTTGGGTCCTTTAGGGATCAAAGTAGTGCTCCTCATCCGCATTGGCTTGTTTCTTACGTAATCCAATGGTTTGGGTACTTTGTTGAAGCTTGAACGGATCGTCTGCATCGATGCTCTGTCGCTTACGCAGCCGACTAACAACCTTAAAGTAGTTCGAAGTAATGTGGGCGACACTGGGGCCATAGGAGCGTTCGGCAACATCCTTTTCGCAGCGCACCCAAATGTTGGTGAGCAGTCCACCGGAGCTATAGAAGTTGATGACCTTGTCGCGACGTCGCCACTTTTGCATCATTTGCTCAGTAACCGGCTCGTAGATGCGATACACTTTGTAGAAATGTGGGAAGTGTTCGGACATCCGGCGCATTGCCTCCTCGTCGATTTTCGGTATGCGCAGATAAGGCTGGCGAACAATGTGGTAGGGATCATGGAATTGTGTGAAATTGGCGTAGCGCACCGAAGGCCAATCCAGCTCGAGAAGTGTGTTGTACAGGTTCTTGGGATTGCCCAGAATTCCGTGCGCTACATCGATCATACGCAGCTGCGGACCCGGCGTTATGTACTCCAATTCGATTTCCGCTATGCGATAGTCTGTGCCGCGATACTTGCGCTCCCCAATCCACAGTATGGGCAGATCCTCGTCGGGCACGTGTTGCAGTTCTTGTATTAGAGGCGACACCTGGGTACGGTAGTTCACGATCTTATTGTTACGCCCGTACAGCAGACTGCGCTCCGACGGCGTAAAGCTCAAATATTCTGGACGATGCTTCACAAAGTGCTCGGAGCGAAAGAGTCGAGCAATCTCCATCTCGATGACATTGTACGCACGCCGATGCATAGAGATCCAAATGATTTGGGTGGTCACTGCGAGGAACTGCTCGTGAAAGAACTTGTCCTGGATCGTGGCCGAAATGTTGACGATCTCCTTCATGTGATAGAACTTGTGCATGTCCCCCTCGCCCTTCACAATAACGCTGTAGTTGCGCGCCACGAGCATACGATACTGACTCAAATAGATCGAGAATATCCGCTTCATGTCGTTTGTTTGTTCGCTCTGTATCTGCCCCATATTGCCGGCCAGCTCGTCTCGGCGTATCAGCACAAACTCCACCATGCGCAAAAAGTATTCAAAATATATGATGAGAGCATGCAGGAGTCGGTGAACAGCTGGTCTGTGCATAAAGTCCAGAAAGCGCTTCGTCAGAAACTCGGATGGCATGAGGAAAAGCACGAGGTCCCGTATATCGTTTATCACCACCGTGTCCGAGTCAAAGGTTGTGGGCGGCCGCAGAAACTCCTGGCGAAAGATCAGCTCCTCCTCCTGATTGATGGTGCGCAGGAACTTGTAACCATTCGTTATGATATAACGTTCCCGCGAGTTCTCCAAGTCGTTGTGCGGCTCGAACTGCAGGCGATCCGATGCATGATCCCACGACCACTTCCCACTCTTATACTTGGGCGCATAGTTGTCGGCGTGTATGCGTTTCATGGTGAGAGGAGTTGATTACTTCAAAAATAAATAAATATACCATATACTATATGTATGTTTAACTGACAGTACGAATTTGATACTACGATGTAGGGAAATTCCTACTTATACTTTTTAGAATTTTAAATCAAAGAAAAAACTTGCATACTTCTCACTAAAATTAATACTTTGATTCCTCAAAAATTCCACATAACAGACTAAGGAATTTTAGAAAAGAGCTCGTGGCAAGCAAATAGCTGTATGTTTATGTTTTGTTAAATTCTTCTAAGACATCTGATGACTTTTTTACAATAGAATAGATTTTAAATTATATACATATAATATAAGTATTTCTATAAATTTCATTTTAATATTTAGCTTTGTTTTATTTACAATTATTCCAGGGCAGCAAGCTAGAAATGTATGCATTAAAAAATTTTTAATTGTGCACTGATAATTACATTTAAAGTTGATTACAAGAAACATAAATAAGTTTAGAAACCCAAAAGCAATAATAAAACTCATAAGCCTAAAGAATAACCGAGCAAAAGAAAAATGGTGTCTGCATTTTTGATTTACAAGATGAACAACGCGGATTTGTAATGCGGATTTTTATGTTTATGTTTCGAGGATTTCAACTAAAATCTCCACAAAAACATGCAAAGTACAAAATCAGCAATCCCCAACAGACATATCCTCATACGCTTGCAAACACATACACACGCACACATATATGTATTCGTATATACTTCGTACATATATATAAGCCCACACGCAATGTTTTGGCATTTGTCATAATTACAAGACGTCGGGAGTCAGGGGAAGTCGAAGGAAGCAGCAGAGAAGCTGCTGCGGCGTTCCCGGGCTATAAAATAAAAGAAAATTTTCGCGAATGTGAAATTCGCGCTCTTCTGACAGCGTTCGTAAGCGTCGCAAAACGGCGCCTAGTCTCAAAGGCTGCCCTGCCCTCTTCACATCCGGCCGACAATTATTAACGTTTTACATAAAGGGCGTCGGCGCATTTATGACTGCACTTTTCACATCCGCTTCCGCTTCCGTTGCTCTTGTCGTCATTTCGTTAAGCACACACACACACACATACACTCAAAAGGAGTTGGGCCCGTGTTCGGTTTCTCCATTTTCCATATGAGGAGCTCATGCATAGAGAACAGAGTTCGAAGGCGTCGTGGCGGGCAGATGAGAAAACAATTTTACTTTACATTTGTTTTACGACATTTACCCCCTCCATATGCTACCCACACACACACACACTCACACACACCCACTCACCCACACACTCACAGACGTACACAAATACTGGGCTGCGTTTCGCGCCATGGGAACATAAGCCTGGCGACTACGACATGTTTCCAGGCTCCGTGTGTTTTGTGTGTGATAAGTATTTATTATTATGCCTTTTAATGGCCACGCGCGCTCCTTTTGTGCCTTTTACACAAATGAGTTTCGTTCATTAAAGCCCACTTTGTCAGCCATTTCGCTCATTTGTTGCCGAAAGAACAAAAATTGTTTCTTTTATGCATTTTGCCAAACATATGCCTTTCAAACAAAACAATGGGATTGACTATAGCCAGTGCCGGGTACAAACAAATAATAAAAAGAAGTGTTTAATGTTAAAAATAAAATAAATAATACGAAAATACCCCAATAATAAGCTCAATATAATTAAATTTGTAATGACTGGAGTAATAATTTAAAAGTAATGCAATACTTGTAACGCTGGATTAGGCTTATAAATAAATAAATTAATTAATTAATAAATAAATAAATAAAAAACAAAATAAATAAATAAATAAAAAAGAAAATAATTATATATATATACATTGCTAATGAAAAATGCAAGTTATTTCATAAGCATTTTAAAAGCATTAATGAAACTATTTTTTTGATTATAATAACTTAATAATAACTCAAAAGAAATGAGCCAGAAAATTGAATACAAATCCGCACAATACAACACATACATGTGAGCTCTCATGCCCCCCATTATTTATTAGCAATATATAAATACTAATACCTCTTAGATTCTCTACTTGTCTCTGATACTTGGATGCTGACATCACAAGTTATCCTTACAGTATTGGTCAACAAGAGTATCCTTTGACTTCTTATGCTCACAGTTAGCTGAGCAGATGACATTTTCAATACGATTTCAATGAGTTTGAAAGCGAAACTGAGCTGGTTGTGAAATGCAAGAGCGGCAGCTGCAGAAGGAAGAGGCCAGACTAGCAAGATACAAAATAAGTAAGGGATTAAATTGAGCGTAAGAAAAATAAATGACAACTGACGGCATACGGTTGAAAGTGTTAAGAAAGTTGCCTTCTGCCCCGACAACTGGTCCTTTTTAAAATAATCCGTAAAACTTGTATAAGCCAAGTAACAATTTTGCGTTCATACAGAAGAGAATACCTTGAATACCTTCGTGTACAATCAACTATTGCTTATAGAAATATTAATAATGGAATTATTTTTGACAAACATACAAATACTTTCTACGCTCTTCACACCAGACGGATTTAATTAAAGTAATTTGATTTATGCGGAAAAAAATGCGAAACGGTGTTAAAACTTGTCTCACTTTTTGCGAGCGGTTGTTAAAGTGAGTTTCCCCTGAAAATGTGCGCAATGTAACCCAAAATAGGGAACGTGCCAGAATTTGAGAAACACAATATAAAACAATATATAAAAAAAGGTATTGTTTCATGCCTGCAAATGAAAGAGCCAAAGTTAATTCAGCTCGAAAAATGAATTTTGTGTTCAACTCTTTGATTCGGCTACGTAAAAAACTTGGTGTTGCTGCAATAATTCGATCTTTTTATTGCCGCCTATAAACGCTTTGTTAATGTGCTATTACATCTAAAAGGAAAAATTAACGACAAAAATCTCTTGCCACGTACATGTCGCGTCACTTTACTTAGCCATGGAATTTCGATTCACATAAAAAAGCAAAAACAAAAACCCTGGGAGCAGGCAAAACAAGATGAGCCAATAAAGTTAATACGCTACATTAAGTCTGAATTTCTAATTAACGGGGACGGCAACACACGGCGACGTCACGTCCTCGACATTCCACTTGTTCCGTTCACTTAGGAAGAGCATTAAGCGTCTGCATCGAGATGTACGGCCAGCCGGCTCAGAGATTTCCGGAGTAGCGCCGTTTCGTGTTTGCATTTATTGTTTATTGTCTGGCGAATAAAACATTTGTTGCTGTTGCATTAAACGCAAATGTGGGAGAGGGGCAGGCGAAAGAGAAGAGAGAGATAGATAGCGACAAATATGGCCGCCGCCTTCTTCCTGCCCGCTCCGACATATTGGTCGCGCCTCACTTCACGCTTCATATTCGGCAAGTGGCCATAAAAGTGGCACTGCGCTGCGTTCACGATAAAGGACGCAGGACGAAGGACAAAGACCATGGCGACTGTGGGCAATAAAAGAAAGTGCACGCTGCTCTGAAAAGAGAAATGAATTTTATGCATTTTGGCTGAGAAAAAAGCACAATTTAATTGAATCCGCAATGGTAGCGACAGAAGCTGACCTCCGCTCTCCGCCCTCCGCACGCCCACGCCACGCCCCTGACTGTGGCATCACCGTCGCCATTGCCATTGCCATTGCCATCGTCATCGCCATCGACGATTTTAATTTTCTGTTATTAAAGTTGAATACCGCCGTAGAATGTGCGCCCACCACGCCCTCCATTTTATTTATAGCTTTGGCGCATTTGCCACAAATTGAAGTGAACGGCTGTTATATTTCTTCCATCCCTCAACCTCAACCTCACTCGACCTACGACCCTTACACCCACCCCCTCCATCAGATGGTATGTTCTGCATATTCCGATTATTAATTTACATTACGTGGCGGACAATGCGATGCGATAATGAAGAGTGAGCGCCAATATGCAAAATTATTTTAAAATGCAACGAAAGAACAGCCTGACAGGAAGTGGCAGGAAAGCTTTTAAAGCAATTAATATTGGTTGAGACTGCGACGCATGCTGCCTCAAAACCCAAGCCAAAAAAAAAGCTCAGCTCAGGGCAAGCATTTCGCTATGAATTCATTCATAATTCATAATTAGTTGAAGGTGAGTTGGACAATTAACTATAATGAAAAGGGAGACCTGAAGTTGCGCGGAGGTGGGAATGCAATTCAGTTGAAAAGTGTTTTGCCTTAGCAAGCTCCCTAGATCTTAATACTCGCGGCGCTGAAATATGCTGACAGTAAGGATAATATATTGCCTTTTTGCCATGACACAAATTAACAAGCTTGTTGTCCATTTTCACATTATTCTTCATCTTCAAAATTTAATTCTGTGCAATTGTTTTCAAAGAATTTTTGATTGTTGAAATGACTGAAATGAATTTAAATTTATTTAACAATAATGATAAATAAAAACAGATAAGTGTGAATAATTGAAAAGCCCCTTGAAGTTGAAAAACTCCACATTGCTTATAAAATAAAAATGTTTCTGCTTTTGAGATTAAAGCATACTATTGCCAAGCAAGGGCGTATGCTGGGAGGGGGGAGCCGGCGGGAGCCGTTTCCCCTCCTACAAAAATTTTTGCCATATACAGTCGACCACACGTTCAGCATTATAACGCCCTATTTTGCCTTAAAATGGATCTGAGTTGGATTTGTTGAAGATTTTTCATTGATCATATGCATAAGATATTTTTTAAATGCATCGTGCATTATTTAATCAAAATTTTCATTTTTTGGCTCCCCTTTGGTAAAAGCTGCCTACGCCCTTGTTGCCAAGTAAAGCTATATAATACATACGGGACCAAAAACGTACCATATATATATTACAGTTTATTCAGAAATTAGTAATGTAATTTTCTATAATTAAGTCAAACTTGTTCAAACTTTTTTTTTAAGAAATTCATGTTTATCATAAAAATTCTCCTAAACAACACACCAAATGTATGTATATCGGACGATAACTAAACTCAAAGGTTATATCACATTAAATCTCTGAGCAATGTGCTTTTAAACTGAAATAAAATAAAAAGAGTGAGCAAGGCACGAACTTCAGTCCCATAGAGTTAAGAAATATTTCACATTTCTTCGCAATTGCAACTCTGTAACAAAAATTTGACAAAGAA